CTATTTGGCAGGCGTGGACTGTGAAGCCCAGTGGGGTAAAGTCACTTCCACAAGGTCACACAGCAGCACGTCAGAGCTCAGGCCCATAGGCCAGTGGATGGTTGGGCGTGGCCACTCCCGCCTCTCAACTCTCCTTCCCTCTCACGGGTAGAATCCTCACCCTCCCAGGGAGACCTGGGTTTGTTTCTGGCCAAAGCACCACCTCCTGCCCAGCCACCAGCCACCTATCAGTGGAGGCGGGTGTGTTTCTGTGATGCTGAATACGTTCCCACTGAGCTTTCAGCCTAATAGAAACTAGGGCAGCAGGCTGGGTGATCGCCTGAAAACCAGCCTGGAAACAGTGTGGGTCACAGTAGTCTGAGCTAACATCACCATTGGTCAGCTTTGCTTATTCCTCAACTTTATTTAAGTGACTTACGTCATATTGTGTAAGGAGCTCTGGTAGCATCTGACTTCTAACCAGAAGGTTACTTGGTGGTTCAAACCCACCAGTCACTCTGTGGAAGCAAGTCTGGGCAATCCACTCCTGTAAAGACTTATCTCCTTGGAAGCCCAACAGGGGTCGCTGTGAGATGGAATCGACTCGATGGCGGTGGGTTTGGTTTGTTTTTACATCATATCGTGTATATGCTTTTGTGTTTGCCTTCTGTGTTCATCAGAGGGTCTGTAAGACTCAGCCGTGCAGTCGCGCATACTAGTGATTCATTCCTTTACGCCTGTCTGTTGCACGGTATCCTGTCATTTATCGACTCAGGCTTTCATTGACGGGCCTTTGGGTTCTTTCCAGTTTGAAGCTATGAACATTCTTGTTCACATTCTCTTGGTGGACATATGTCCTCATGTCTCTTGAATAGATTCCTAGAATTGCTGTGTCATAGGGCAAGTGTAGGTTGGACCTTACAAGAAACTGCCAGTTTTCCAGACAGTTGTACCGATTCAACCTCCCACCAGCAGTGTGTGAGTTGAGTCGTACCACCTCCTCTCCAGCACTCGTTTCAAACACTTGGTCTCTCTCATTTCTGTCATTTTGGTGGGACCTCATTTCTCTGCTGAGGAACGATGGTGAGCACTCACTGAACATGTGTGGAATGAATCCTCAGGTGGCCTGTGGAGGAGACTCTCCACTTGGCAGGGGAGCAGTGGGCTGGCCGCTGAGCCCAGGTCCCACTAGACCCCCTTTCCCAGCCTCCTTTGGTGAAGAACCTTGTGACTAAGTCCTAGCCAATGAGAGGCAAGCACAGACTATGTGGCCACTTCCAGTCCTGGCCCATAAAGACCTCCCACAGACTTTGAGCTTCCTCCTTCCATAGGGACTTTGAAGGGCACAAGTTGAGGATTGTGGGCCCTCTTGGAGAAGTGTTGCCCTCTGAGCAGATAAGCCCCTGTGAACCTCATGTGAACAAATAAACTTCCATTGCATATGAGCCTTGGGTTTGTTACAGCAGCAAGCTTTGCCTTAACTAATGTAGGTATGGAGTCCCTGGGTATTGCAAACAGTTAAAGTGCTCAGCTGTTAACCAAAAGGCTGGCAGTTCAAATACACCCAAAGGCAAGAGAGGCCTGATGATCCAAAAATCAGCCATTGAAAACTTCATGGAGCACAGCCCTACTGTAACACACATAGGGTCACCATGAGCCAGAATCAACTCAACACCTAGTTAATGTAAGTAGATAGTCATTAAAAAAAAAAAAAAAAAAAACTTCACTGTTGTGGAGTCAGATCCGACTCATAGCGACCCCTCCTGGGGTTTCCGAGGTGGTATCACTACGGAAGTAGATTGCTCAACCTTCTTTCTGAGGAGTGGCTGGTGGGTTTGAACCACCAGCCTTCTGGTTAGCAGTCAAATGTCTTAGGCACTATGCCACCAGAGCTCCCGATGTATTCATAATATAACTAAGGGAGGCAGTAACTAGCCCCATTTTACAGACAAGAAAACTGAGACACAAGAGGCTAAACAACTTAGCCAAGGTTAGTAAGGGGTGGAGCCAGGATTTAACCCCACTTCTGAGCCAATCACTGTGACCAGAGCGCGGGTGGTGCTGTAATTGGCCAGGTTGGTAAGTTTGTTCCTATTCCTCAGCCCCAGAGAGTGGGGTCAGCTACACAAATCACCAGAACCAGAGTAGAGACTGATGGTTCCCAAAACAAAATAGGGGTCCCAGAGGGAGAGGGGATGAGAGTCAGACACCCTCGGTCTCCAGCGCCCCTGGCCAGTCCACCACCGGCCACCCACCCTGGCTCTACTGCTGTTTTAACTTACCTTCTCCCTCTTTGCCTCCCTGAAGCTGGGGGCAACCTCGGCTGCTTCAGAGAAGTCAGATGCCATCAGATGAAAACTGAACATTCACTCCTCCCACCAAAACCTAGACTCTGCCCGCACCCTGGTTGGGTTGGGGTCTGCCCTAGGCCCTCGCCCACCTCAATTCTCCCTCCCGTCCCTTCAGCGCCTCCTCTCCAAGCTTGAGTTTCTACTATCTTGAAACAACCCAACCTGCTCCTTCCACCCTCTCACCCAGCCACCAGTCTCCACTCTGGTCCAAGCATTGCTGCCACTCAGACCTGAGTTTCCCACCTCCCTTCCTCCACCTCATCAACAACCACCAACCCAATGAAGCAGCTCATGCAATACTCCCCCAAAGCCAAAGGACACCTCCCAGGCACTGGCTCTCTTGTCCACCGCATTAATAGCTGACCTCTCCTTCCTTCTGGACACATCTGGGTCATGACGCTCGCAGCTCCTGGTGGCCCTGGGCCTGGCTGTTCTTTGGTGTCTGCCCCAGGCCCTCCCCTCTCATGGTTCACATACCTGTCTCCAGGCCGTTGTGTCCAATGCCAACTCTAAGCTCCCCTTTCAGTCAGCTCAAGGTGTGATGGTGAATTTTCTGGGCCAACTTAGCCAAGCCATGGTTCTCAGTGGTTTGCCCGTATAGCAGAGTATATAGTATATATACTATATACTATACGCTGGGAGTAGATAGTATATAGTAGCCAAGTTGCTGTTCCTCTGTGTAACCTACTGCAGTCCCATCTTCCCCAGTGCGATCTAATGCAGTCGACGGAAAGGGAGCTTCTCAGACCACAGGTATTTTGGCAGAACGTGCGCTTTCCACTCTGTCACCTGACCTACAGCTCTCGGGACTAAAGCCTGAACAAGTCTCAGCCTCCCGCCTCATTTTGAACTTGCCAGCCCCCACAAGCCTGAGCCAATCCTTTGAAGTAAAGCCGTGTGTGCGTGTGTGTGTGTGTGTGTGTGTGTGTGTGAGCAGTCCTGGTGGTGCAGTGGTTAAGCTCTCGGCCGCTTACTAAAAGGTCAGCAGTTCAAACTCACCAGCTGCTCCATGGGAAAAAGATGTGGCAATTTGCTTTCATGAAGATTATGGCCTTGGAAATACTGTAGGGCAGTTTTACTCTGTCCTTTAGGATCACTGTAAGTCAGAGCAGACTCAATAGCAGTGGGTTTATTACATGCATGTATATATGTAAATGTACACGTGATATAGGTATTACATATATAACCCACTGCCACTGAGTCCACTCCAACTCATGGTGACCCTTCCTTGTGTATCCAAGGCTGCAAATCTTTACCAAACTAGACTGCCTCATCTTTCTCCCACAGAGTGGCTGGTGGGTTTGAACCACCAGCCTTCTGGTTAGCAGCCAAATACCTTACCCACTACAACACCAGGGGAGCTCTGGTAGCATAGTGCTTAAGGCACTTGACTGCTAACTAGAAGGTTGGCGGTTCAAACCCACCAGCCACTCCTCAGAAGGAAGGTTGGGCAATCTACTTCTGTAGTGATGCCACCTCAGAAACCCAAGGAGGGGTTGCTGTGAGTCGGGTCTGACTAGACAGCACATACTACCACCACCACCACCACCACAACTCCTTACATATGTGTATGTCTGTGTATATATACATATACAGACACTCACACAAATGAAGACCCAGTGGTGCAACCGGGTAAGCACTCGGCTGGCAGTCTGAATCCACCCAGAGATTCTGTGGGAGGAAGACCTGATGATTTGCTCACATAAGAACACAGCCAGTGGTCCAATAGAGCCTGTGAAACCCCTGAGACTATGGCCCCTAGCTGCCCTTCAGGTCTGGAATTGAACCCACATCTGTGGCTTCCAGCCAAACAAAAGACAGGCATATGAGTTGAACATTTACTGAGGTAGATACACTCCTTGAAGAGAACAATCATGGGAGAAAGAAGGGCTGCTTATGTGCCGAGAGACAGGGGGCAGGAGGGATGGACACAGGGAAGAAGTGACTATCAGAAGGAAGTGGGAGGGGAGCTGTAGCATTGTGGCAAATTGCAGTCAATGTCATGAGACAGTGTATGTGAGCTGCTGTGTGGAAGATGAATTCGCTCTGTAAACTTGCACCCAACTCACAATTAAATATATATATATATATATATAATGCACCCCAAACTCCACCTCCCCAGGCCCTGCTCACTCCTCAGCCCAAGCCGCCGCTTCCTGAAAGCAGAGCCACATCTGCCAAGTCCCAGGTGGGCACTGCAGGTCCAGATAGGCCTGTTGACTGGGTGCCTAGCTCAAAAGCCACGCCCATGCCACCCCGTGCCACTGCTCCTTCTGACAGACCCTTCATCATACGAGGGCCAAGTGGGCTTTCAAAGTCTGTTCTCGTCCCTGCTCCCTTCTGTCCCCTCACAGCAGCCCAAGGTGAAAGAGTGGCCTCTATCCGAGATGAGGCTGCTCAGAGAAGACCAGGGTCCTGCCCAGGGTCTCTGAGCGCTGAGATAAGCCCCACCTCCTGCAGCAGAATCAGCACCTGCTGGCTCCGGCCCCAGGCCTCACCTCAGCGTCCCTGGGCAGAACTGTGGCCTCTGGCCTTTCCGCTGACCTCTCCCTTCACCTGGCAGCTGCCCAGCCCACCCCTGCCCCCAGTCCCACTCAGTAGGAGGAAGGCAAGCAGATTGGATGGGGAAGTGGTCACAAAGCCCTGCACGGCCACCAACGTTCCCTTTTATTTTTTAATAAATTTAAGAACACCTTTATTGTCTCTCTTCCCCCCAGAGCAACTAAAATGGGCGCAGTCTGGGGGGCCAGGGGCGCTAGGAGTCATAATCCTCTTCATCCTCTGCGTCAGGTGCTGATGGGCCTGGGGGTGCTGGGGGCAGAGGCAGAGTCGAGGGGAAGGGCATGAAGGGTGTCGGGGGGCTGCAGGGCAGAAAGCAGGAGAGGGCCATCAGGCCATGATCTGGGCCCATTCCTGCCCACGGAGCCGTGCCCCACCCTCTACGGAGGAGCCCACCGCCCTCTGTGCCCACAGGGAGCCACACCCCAGAGAAGGGAAAGGCCCAAAGCAGGTCACAGAGCCAGGGAGCAGAGAGTTTTCTGAGCGCACGACTCAGTCCTCCCCTCCCACCCCCAAATCCCCCACAACCCACCCACACAACCCACAGCTGGAGAGGATGGGAGAGACATGCCAGCCTCGGGGAGGCCGCTGAGCCTCCTGGCCTCCTCACCTCTGAAAGGGGGCAGGGGGGTGGCTGGCCTGGGGTGGGGGCTGCATTGCCTCCTCTTCCCCCTCAGTATCTGTGTCCTCAGACTCATCCTGTGAAGGAAGCAGGAGTCAGGGGGACAACAAGGCATGACACGGCCCATCACTGGGAACCCTAGACCTCTGACAAACGGGGGATCCTGATGGCTCGTTTACAAAGCGATGTGCAAAGAGATCCCGGTAAGGACAAGCCCCAGCCTCCAACCAGCTCAGCCTGATGCTGGGGCCCCCAGGTGCCACGCTCTCCATCAGTGCAGGGCCACACAGAGGGCTGGGCCCCTCACCTCCTGCTCCGAGTCAGTCCCGGACAACTTCTTGTCCTTGCCTTTGCTGCCCATGCCACCATTCTTCCGGCTGCTGCCGCCTGGCTTCCGGCCCCTTGGAGAAGATACAGTCCATCTGCCCAGGGGTCTACCCTCTCCTGGGCCACCTCCCAACCACCCGCTTCCCCGGTGGCCTTGGCCCTCTCCACTTGGACACCTGTGCCCCCACCTGCGGGCACCCTTGTCCCCGTCCATGTGGTTGTCTTCTCCGTCCCCTTGCATGTCAGGCACCGAGGCCACCAGGTCCTTCAGAAAGTCAAACTGCTGCTCCAGTTCAATGCACTGCTTCCTGGAAGGGGCAGAGGACGGCACTCACAGGGGCCTGGACACCTGGGCCCTCAGGAAGGGACAGCCAGGGAGGGGGATTGGATGTCAGGCAATGGGGACACCAAGAACTCCCACCTCCTCTCCAGCACCACCACACCTGCCCCCTTCGGTTATCCTCTGTGCCTGGAACACCCAGCCCCTCCTCCACTAGTCCAAGCCTATCAGCTCTCAGCCACCTCCCATCTCCCTGTGCATCCGGGCGAGGCCGCCCCTCAGCGAATGAACTCGTGGTCAGGGCCTGCCGGCCCCTCCCAGCTTCATGGGCCACTCACAGGTGGGACGTGGTCATGGTCTTGGCATTTCGGGACTGGGTCACCTGGCAGGCCTTCTTCAGCAGTGACTCCAAGAAGAGCTCCAGCGCCCGGGCTGAGGGGTGTCAAGGAGAACGCGGAAGGGGGGTCCCCGGCCCTCCCCTTCCCACGCCTCCCAATTGGCCAGCCCCTAGCAGGATACAGATGATGACAGGCACTGCCGCCGCCACCTTCCCGATCTCCTCGTCCGTCTGCATGATTTTCTTGATCCGCGCCTGGGGAGGAGGGCAGAGAGCTCGGACTCCGCCGCCTTCTTCCCGAAAAGGGGTGCCAGGGGTACAAGAGGGAATTCCGGGAGAAAGGGGCAGGGGGCACAGACCCGGGAAGGGGACGGAAGGGGGCGGGGCGTCCGGGCCCCGGGCCCCGGGCCCCCGGGAGTATCCGCGCCCCCCTCCCCGAGGGGCTCGGGCCCAGGCCTCCCGGAGCCGGGCTCACTCCTCCCCGGCCCGGCCACGTGCTCACCGGCGGGAACCGCGCGTTGTACTTCTTCTTCTTGCTCGGCATCTCAGGGCTTCTCCTGACGCGCCGGGCCCAGCGCCGCCGCCCGCAGCCTCCCGGCCCCCGGGCCTGCTCGCCGCCCGCCCGTCGTGCTTCCCCCGGGTCCTGGCGCCGCCCGCTCCGCCCCCGCCACTCCCCCACGGGGTCCTAGCGCCGCCGCTTAGTGCAAACTCGCATCACCCAGGGCCCTCCCCTTTAGTCTCCGGGGCGGTGCGCGTCGTCGCCGTCGCCAGTCTCGCCTGCCTCTCCCGCGGGCTCCCAAGTCCTGAAGAGAAAACGTTAGCTCCGCCCCCCCGGCCGGACGGCCCGCCCCCACTGATTCCCGCGGTGGTCCCGCCCCCGGGTCGACCACGCCCCCTTAGACCCCGCCCCTCGTAAGACGGCCCCACCCCGTGGCGGCGTTTGTCTATAAAGTTGTTGTTGAGGCGGCGAACGCTAAGATGGCGGCGACGGCAGCGGCCCTGTCGGGGGCGGGGCGCAGTGGCAGCGGCGCGGAGCCCCGGCAGGAGCGGAGCCGGGCCCGGGGTTGGGCCGAAGCCGAACGTAGCGAAGGCCGGAGGTGACGGCGGGGCGGCGGGAAGGGTAGGGGCGGAAACCCGGCTCTGTCTATGGGCGCTAATGGCTGCAGGCGCGGCGGGGCCGACGGCTGACCCTCTCGAAGCTTCTAACCAGGCAGGGTTCGAGGCTGGGCACCGCCGCATCGGCCTCAGACCCATCCCTGCCTCTTTGGGCCTCAGGAGCCCTCTTCCTTGCAGTGGGCACGCCAGCGCCCACCGGAAGGCCTGGCCCTACAGGGTGGGCTTCGGGTGCTGCGCGAGCTTGCGCTCCCTTGTCTGCGTCTATTAAGCCCAGCGCGCCGGGTCCCTGCCAGGCCCTGGGCAGACGAAGCGCGCTTCGCCAGGGCCAGGAGGTGTGTTGGGGCCGGGAACTTCCACCCCTGCATTCACATTTCGGCTCCGCCACTCCATACAGGTGTGACCTTGGGCAGGTTCCCTCTCTCTGAGCTTCGGTTTTCTCATTTCTGGGTCAGTGACAGTAACAGTAGTGACATACATAGCCTGTCTTCCACCCCGGGCATTTGATTCTCACCGCAGCTCTATGAGACAGGGATGGGGGGGTCCTCCGTTGTGAAGATGAGCCATTGAGGTACAGCCATATTGTCTTGCCCAAGGCCACACAGTTTAGACCACTGCCTGGCACCCACCAGGGCCCACGCAGTGAGAGTTACTGTCAGACCTGACCTGACTCACACCCATCACTGCAGGATGGAGCCAGGTGAGGACCCCGAGGGAGAAGACTCTCCAGGCGGCCGGGAGGATGGGTTCACCGCCGAGCACTTGGCTGCAGAGGCCATGGCAGCTGACATGGACCCCTGGCTGGTGTTTGATGCTCGCAACACGCCCGCCACTGAGCTGGACGCCTGGTTGGCCAAATACCCCCCATCCCAGGTTACCCGCTATGGGGGCCCTTGCTCACCCAACTCTGAGCCTGTGGGCTGGATCGCAGCCTATGGGCAGGGCTATACCCCCAACTCTGGGGACGTGCAGGGTCTGCAGGCAGCCTGGGAGGCTCTGCAGAGCAGCGGGCGGCCCGTCACGCCCAGCACCCTGCGCCAGCTGGCCATCACCCACCAGGTGCTGTCAGGCAAGTGGCTGATGCACCTGACGCCTGGCTTCAAGCTGGACCACGCCTGGGCTGGCATTGCCCGAGCCGTGGTCGAAGGCCGGCTTCAGGTGGCCAAGGTGAGCCCACGGGCCAAGGAGGGTGGACGCCAGGTCATCTGCGTTTACACGGATGACTTTACGGACCGCTTGGGTATACTTGAGGCGGACACAGCCATCCGGGCGGCGGGCATTAAGTGCCTGCTCACCTACAAGCCAGACGTCTACACCTACCTGGGCATCTACCGAGCCAACCGCTGGCACCTCTGCCCCACTCTCTATGAGAGCCGTTTCCAGCTGGGAGGTGATGCCCGCGGCTCGCGTGTGCTTGATCGTGCCAACAACGTGGAACTGACCTAGTGGGGCTGGGTCGGAGAGACCACCCTCTACTCCCCTGCTGGGAAGGATGCTCCCACCTCCCTCAACATCACCCCAAGGAGGCTAAGCCCCAGCTTTTGAGGACTGGGTTAGGTCATTCGAGAGCTGCCTGCATCTTCAACACCCTTGAACCTCGGTCATCTTCAGGACTGACTCAAGCCCCTACGTCCCACACCCCTACAGGCCAGGGGGCTGTGGCTCGCTGAGGGCCAGGCCCCGAGCCTCTCTCCCATAGCTGCTGCACCCCTCCACCTCCTAGGACCCCAGCTGGGGCCTGACACTAGGGGGCGGAGCTGTCCTCAGCCACTCTGGTCACTTCACCTGGCTGCATCTTCCCTCTTCCTGCATTATCCCCCTCCTTCCCTCCTGAGGAAGAAAACGTCAGTGCTTCCAGTCCCTCCCCTTGGTACCTGTGCTGTCCGGGGGGCAGGGGTCCTGCAGGCCTGAGGATGCCATTGATGGCAGGGGAGTAGTTATGCCCACCCAGCCCCTGGCAGAGAGAGAGGATGCTGGCGCCACAGATCCCAGGCTTGCCCTTCCCTGCCACTCACAGCCTGTACCACCTTCCTGCCCACGTCAGCTACCTACCTTGTCACCTGCCTGCTCCTGGCATTTCAGTAAAGCCCAGCTTGGGTCTGTGTCTTGATTGTTTTTTAAAAGACTGTCTTAGTGGTTTTCTGCTTTAGTTGCTTAGAGCGGCCAGGCCACGAGAGAACTGCTCCCTGGGCCTGGCAGGCCTCTTATCTGCCTCACTGCCAAGGCCCGACTCCTCTCAGAACCCCAGCGAAGCTAGCCCTGCTCCCTTCCAGCCCAAGAATCAGAATCTGTTTCTCAATGATTTCCTGTAAATCCAAGGGCTTGGCCCTTCCAGGAAGGCCCAGGGAGCCACCGCTGGCCTCACGTTTACGTGACACCTCATCATAGGCGTTTGGGCACATTAAAGAAAAGAGCCCCCTGGCAGAGGCAGCCTGCAGGGCACACGGTTTGGTGAGCAGAGGATGTGCTGCACACTTGTGCAGTGAACAACCTGCACGACCTTTGGCGGTGGCCCTGGAAGTCCTTCTGTTTGTTTATTAGTCTCACAACCACCCTGCCTGCCACAGGGGCCACTGGGCAGTTTGCACAGCACTTCCATACATGTCACCAACTTCATAACCTCTTTTTGAAGGAGATACTGGCCCCGTTCTGTGGTCAGGCACGTTGAGGCCCAGAGAAGAAGGGAGTTCCCCAAAGTGTCACCGAGTAGAGCAGAGAGACTGGCCCTGCCTCCTCAGGCCTCGCAGAGGAAACCTCGCCCACAGGCAGCTCTTCACAGCCCACAAAGCACTTTCACTGCCACCATCTCACTGCACTGTCTTCTCCGAGGCTGCTGTAGCTTCTGGGAACCTGGCTCCTGCCGTTCCCCCCAACCTCTGGCCTGGCCCTGCCCTGGTCAGCAGCCAGGGTGTCTGGCAGGGAGCCCCCTGGGAACACTGATCCCGTGCGTGCGCCGTGCTCGAGCTGACTCAGCCTCCAGCAGCCTCACCAAATTGGAATTTGGAGCAGGGGAGCGGAGATGCCACTCAGCTGTCTGGGTGGAAGTGGGTGAGTCAGCCATGTTGGCTCTGCCCCCTCCTCAGCTTCCTCTCCACCCGACTCCCTGGAGGAATGACTTGGAAAGTCCCCACCAGAGCCGGTGGTCTCAAGTTAGAGCCTGGTGCCCTTTGCCCTCAAAGCCACAGTGCCTTGTACTGGACCAAAGAGAGCCAAGACTTGGGGGCCCTGGCCAGGCCCTCGTGGGTCCCACCAAGACGCCCATGTGGTGTCAACGGACCTGGTTCACTGAGCAGCTGGCACACTCATCCCCTCTGGTCCCGCTAGGCCTGCTCCAGCCTGGACCTCCCATCTCTCTGTCTCCCTCCACTGCCTCCTGCACCCTGTCCCCCCCCCACACACACACACATACACACACAGCCAGGTCAACGGATGCTTCGGCAGAGGGCCCACGGCCTCCCCCAGCCAGCAGGACAGCCCCCACCCAGGGCCCAGCTGCCCACTGGCAATTCCGTCACCCGCTGGTGTGCAGCCCTGAGCCTGCGCCGCTGCTTCAACACCTGCCCCACGTAGCACCACGTCCAGCAGGTCCGTGTGCGTGCTGCGTGATTGCTGACTGATGTCTGTGGCCCCCTGGCCCCACACTCCACGGGGGCAGGAATGGTATCCACCTCTTGGCCCTGTCCTCAGAGCAGCCTCTCCGTGAGTGAGTGAATGACTCAGTGACTCCAATCTGGCCCCTGAAGCCCCTCCAGCCCCATCTCTCCACGCCTTGCCTCACGCTCTTGTTCCAGAAGCATGAGCTGCCTGTGGTTTGGGCCAAGCCTTTGCTCTTCATGGTCCTGCTCATGCCTGACATGACTCCTCTTCCCCAGCCCCCTCACCCCATCCTCACTCCAACCGCAAAAGCACCTCTCCCCGATTCCCACAAGACACCCCTGCCTCTGGCTCTCCTCTCTGTATGTATCTGGGGTACCAGGAAGACAGTGACCACACTTTGTTCCCAGGGGTGTCCCTTTGTGTCTGGGACAGGCCATGGCCTAGCACAAATGCCAAGCAGCATTGTCTGACTGAATGAACGATTGAATGAAAGTCACCCTGGGCCTCAGTTTCGTTTTCTATGAAGTCATAACAAGGGCCAGGTCCTGTGTCATTTACGCATTTTCCATCACCTAAACTTCACCAGGCTCAAGTACTGTCACCATTTTGCAGAAAAGGAAACTGAGGCCCAGAGAGGTTCAGCAACTGACTCAAGGTTACAAAGCTAGTAAGTGGCAAAGCCAGTATTTGAAGCCAGGCCATCACACTGCAGGGCATCTGGGATATGATTCAGCCCCTACTCTGGAAGCGCTGCTGGGGTCGGAGCAGCAAGAACAAAGGAGGCCCAGCAAGGACCCAGGATCCAACTTGTACAGCCCACAGGCTGGGTCCTCAGAGCCCCTGGGAGAGACACTAGGCCCAGAGAAAGATTCCCATTTTACCGATGAAGAAACTGAGGCCCAGAAGCGGGATTAAGCCTACCTGGGCAGACGGGGTCTCCGGCATATGGTGGGGACTGCTTCCCTGAAGGACCAGTGGCTACCCGGCCCACCATCTCAGGCTGGCGGGAGGCTCTGCCCAATGGCAACCCCCCCCCAAAGGGGGCAGCAGAGAAGCAGCCCGGCCCCAGGGGAGTGAAGTGAACTCGGACAAGCTGCTGTGCTCTGCTCCCTCTTAGGAAACCAGGGGGATGGCTGAGAAAGGAGGAGACTCCCCACTCTGTCTCCTCCCTCTCACACTGCGAGTCCCTAGTCCAGGCAGGAGGCGCCACAGGGGCCAGCCAGGGTGGGAGACAATCTTTGGGTAACCCCTGACCCCAGCCGTGCTCAGGGCTGCCTCGGAGAGGACAGGAAACAGCTGAGTTGGGAGAAAACTGCTCCCAGAGCTTTGGCGGGGTTCTTGGGGATTTTCCCGGCAGCAGGGCAGCTGCACCCCGCTCCCACCCGCTGGGAGGGGCCCTGGCAGGGATGAGGCTTGGGTCACGGCTGATTCATTGCAGAGAGAAACTCCCCACTTCTGTGATGCGCACCCTCCAGGCACCAAGAGGTAACCTGAAGACACCTCTGGCCCCACAAGCCCACAAGCCCATTTCTCCTACCCACTGACTTCCTAGTAGGGTGGGGAGGAACCCCAGGCTTGTCGCAGGGATAAATGGGGCAAGGCAAGGGACAGGGCTTAGGGGCAGCTTCCCAGGCAACAAAAACCAGAAACGGAACTCTCTCGGGGCACCTCAGGCATCCTCCCCTCACTTGTTTTATAGCTGAGCCAACTGCTGTCCCCTGGATTTCCAACTCCTAGCGACCTGATAGGCCAGAGTAGAACTGGCCTATAGGGTTTCCAAGGCTGTAATCTTTATGCAAGCAGACTGCCACGTCTTTCTTGCTTGGAGCAGCCAGTGGGTTCAAACTGCCTACCTTTTGGTTTTCAACCCAATGCCTTAACTACAGCGCCACCAGAGCTCTTTATAGATGAGGAAACAGGCTCACATAATAAGAGTGTACTGTTCCCAGTCCTACCCTGTGCTGGGTACTGCCTATGCACTTGGCCCATTAACTCACATTGTACTGATGAGGAAACTGATGCAGAAGAGGTTAAACAAATTGACCGAGGTCCAGGCCACTGCATGGCCTGCGAGTGCTGGTACCCAGCTCTGTGACAGAGAGCTTCATCCCTGGTCCCTGAGGGCGAAGACCTTCCTGGGGGGAGGTCTGCCTTGGTTTCTGAGGATCTTCTACCCTTGGCCCCTACCCGACCCCAGCTCCTCCTCCCCAGGGTTAAGGGGAGAAAGCTGGGTCCTGCAGTAAAACGTGCCAAACCCACAGAGACTGGGAGAGGGCAGTGAGGCATTCCCGCCAAAATCTTCCTCTGGGGGTTCTGACTCCTTTCCAAACCTCAATCCTTTCCTCACCAGTCAGAGCCTCCCTTTCCTGTCTGCCACCCCCTCCGTCGTGCGCACACACACAACACACACACACCACCTGACTCCTACCCCCCAGGATGCCTCACGAGTCAGAGCAAGGGGCCTGGGAGTTTCAGCTCTGTGAGGCGTGACCGACCTCTGCCCCATCTGGCTTCCACTCATGCTGTGTGACTCACCCACTCGCCCCCCCATGACTCAGTTTACACCGGTGCCTGGAGGTCCTCCCAGTGAGGGTGGGGCCAGTTTATTGGCCCAGCCCTAGGCTGCCAGCCTTTCATCCCAGGAGAAGCATTTCTTTCCCCTCTTGGCCCAGAGCAGGGGCTGGCACCCGCTGGGGCAGCACTCCTGGCTCCCTGCATCCTGGGTTGGGCCTAAAAGTGCTGTAGGACAGAAGTCTAAGAACGGGGAGACAGGCTCCAGCTGCCCTGGGCCGAGTCGTGTGGGAGGCAGGATCAGAAGGGGCCAGGCCCGACAGGCAGAGCCTTCCCGG